GCAGCTGTTCTGCTACATGTCAGGAAGGGGTGAGGAGGCTCCCGAAGCCTACGTGGTGACCGCGGCTTCCCAGCGGGAAGGCGCTTTCCTCTGGCCCCGGCTGGACAAGGCTGGGAGAGCTGGGCCTGTTCGGCCCAGCGTGGGGAAGGGAGGGCTGAGGGGGGACCTGGTCAGTGTCTGTAAATACCTCAAGGGAGGCAGTGAGGAGAATGGAGTGGCCTCTTTTCAGTGGTGGCCCCTGACAGGACTAGAGGAAACGGCCCCAGACTGAAGCACCAAAAGTTCCACAGGAACTTGAGGAAACACTTTTTGACAGTGAGGGTGACGGAGCCCTGGAACGGGCTGCCCAGAGAGGCTGTGGAGTCTCCTTCTGTGGAGATCTTCAAACCYGCTTGGACGCAGCCCTGTGCCMCRTGCTCTAGGTGCCCCTGCGTGTGCAGGGGGTTGGACTAGATGACCTCTGAGGTCCCTTCCAACCTTAAGGATGCTGTGATTCCGAGGTGTTAAGGCCCAGCCATGTCAGTGCAGAGCCTTAGGGCAACGCTAGGGCTGTTCCGGGAGCCGCTTGGATCGCTCTCCTCACAAGCCCAAGAACCCGAGCGCGGCTGGGGAGGTGCTGGCCGCGTAGCTAAGGCGTGTTGGTGCTCCCGCACCAGCACCCTGTGRCACCAGTCTGGGGGAGGAGACGCAGGTAACCACGGGGCACACACCTTTTCCTTTACAGCAGCGTGCTCTCCCAAGAGTAAACTCGTGGAATAATGAAGAAACAAATAGTGCAAGGGGTAAAAAAAGAAAAAAGAACCGAAGGAAATGTAATTACAGTGTGTTTAAATACTTGGAGTGAACCAGAGCAGCTCTGCTAGTGCCGTGGCAGCCGTCCCCATCTCTCCAGGCTTCCAGGGTGGGCAGGACTTCATTTTGGTAGACAGAGAATGATGAGCCGTGGCCAGGAAGAGATGGGCTGCTGATAGCATGAAGCAGCAAAGGCTGGTGACAGGCTTTACTACCATTGATAATTTAGTTGGGGGAATGGAGTATCTCTTCCAAATGACACTTCTCAGTCTCCTCAGCCTGTTGTAAGTGAGATAGATGTGCCGTGTGGCTAGAAATGAATTGCATGGATAGGACCTTTGAATCAATCCTTTCTTCTTTTCCTTTTTCCCCCCCTTTTTTTCCCCTTTTTTGATTTGAGCCAGGAGGTGATGAGGTGCCTGGCAATGATTACTCTCCGCTGGCGCCTCCCGATGGGAGCRCACTCCAGGTGCCAGCCCTGCTCTTCCATAAGCAGGCTGCTTCCAGCAAAAGGAATCTGGCTTCTCCCTGGAGCCCTGCGGAGCCCAGCGCCCCTTCCCTGCCTGGGGACCTTGCTCCTTCGCCAGTGACAAGGGGCTGCTACCATCTGCTGGCCAGGGCTGCAGGATGGAGTCGTGGGTCCAATTTGCACGGGCACCAAAGAGAAGAATTAGTGGCAGTGAAGCACAATTCTCTTGTTTCCTATGTTTTACTTCCTATTTGATTTCTTTTTCTAATTGTAGTGTACGCCCATCATTTTATTTTTGTTCTGAAACAAAAATATATAATGATGAGGTTTCTGGCCTAAGCCACAGAGAGCACAAGCAGGAATTGTGCTGTTCTRTGTCTTCCAAGGCATGTCAGTGCTGTCTTGCAGAGGGCTGAGACCACCTGGGAATATTTTATTCACTCCAGTCTGTATTTCTAGAATCACCTAGAGATTTTGGGGACCCACAGGGCGTTAGCCTCGCTCAAAGATCAAGCCATAGACAGCTCAGATGTTTCAGAAATGGGCGCCTTTGTGGGCGTCCGCTTTATTCAGTCCCTGTGGTGTGCGAGGAAGGCGAGACGGGGAAGAAGAGAGTCGCTGCTGCGTGCGCRGCTCCCCCCGCTTCCCTCGAAAGCAGCAGATGGCTGGGGGTCCCCGGAGGTGGGAGAAATGGGGCCATTAGCCCGCCGGYGGCTTGTGAAAAGCAGGAGCATCTGGCAGGCCGGGCGGCGGGAGCCCGCGGCGCCCACGGGCTCTGCCCCGCGGAGCGGCTGTGCTGCGGGTGGCCCTGCCAGCGCCCGGCCGGGCCGCGCAGCCCCGAAGGGGACACGGAGCCCTGGCTCCTGCTCCGGCCTCTGAACTGCCCCCTCCTCCTCATGGATCGGCCCCGGCTCCAGCTGGCGGGAGAATATTCCGCGCCGTTCTCGGCTGAGCGCTGCGGAGCGGCTCAGGGCTCCCCAAGTGCCCGCTGTGTTTTTGCTGCAGCCGTTTCAGAGCAGCGAGCTGAACCGCACTGCGTGCACGGAGGAGCTCGTTCAAAGGCTAAATTAGCATTTGGAAACGCATCAAAAATTTCCCTTCCAGTTTGCCAGGGGGCTTTTTGTTTGCCGTATCGTTACACCGGGCGCTCTTTAAGACATTCCTGCTCAGCATTAAGGATTCTTCTGCAAATCTCTTGCCCAGCTGCAGTTTAATCCGCGCTGCTGCTGGCCGCCCTGTGCGGGCCGGCGCGTTCCGGGGAAGGGTGACCCGTGGTGTTCGGCCCTGGGATGGCACTTCAAAGAGCGGATAAAACAGCGCAGGATGCCTCCGAGGAACAACACTGGAAATTCATATCTGTGTTCAAAAAGAATCGGCAATTTGGGCTCTGTCCTGTTGGAATAATTAATCTCAGTCAGCCGCGTCTAGAAGAGAGAATAAAGCGTGTGGGCAAAGAGCTCTGATTCAGAGCTCCTCAAGCTGCACTTTGTGAATATTTGGCATAGGTGAATCTGGGACTGTTGCCAGTACATAATATTCTTCTGGGGCTGGTTTCATAGCCAGGAAAAGATATTTTCTATACCTGAAACTTGGGTTTGCTCCCATGAGAGAGATAATTGCATTACAGTTTGGCTGGAGGTCTATGCATCTCRGTGTGCTTTTAAATATTGTTGTAGATTTTTTACCTTTGGAAACAGCATTCCTGTTCTGACAGGCAAAAATGAACGGCTGGGGTGTCTCTTTTTAGGCCTCAGGGACCCTTTCCTTACATCATAAATATTGCATTAGTTTGTCATGATACACATTTGCTGCTTAAAAGACATATATGACTTGATTTAGTAGGGAGCGCGAAAGATCAGGCTCAAGATGCTTTGGCATCACTGAAAAGAGAAGGCAATGTTCAAGATTGGAGTTGTGTTTGTCAAGAGAAGTGACATCTCATAAGCTTTTCTGTTAATTGCATCTGCTTTGATTTGAGAGGGCCACCTGCTTTATGGCTGGAGCTAATTTTGCTTTCATCCTCGCTCAGTCATTTGAACCGTCACTGTCTGCATAGCAGAGAGCAGGAGGCAGAGCAGTCAGTGACTGTCCTTGAGTCAGATAATAATGCTTTTTTTTTTTTTTTTTTTTTTTTTTTTT